TGAAAGAAGGCTTCCTGCCTTTGCAACAATATCTAGAATGTTTTGTGATTTATATAATACCTCAGATAAGTCAATGGTACATTCAGGACTGGTAGGTTCAAAGGGGGAACTGGAGATGTTAAACAAGCTCTGCCACATTTACTAGGATTCTCAATCTCTGATTACCAGTTCCCATTCATAGTCTTAAAAAAAAAAAAAAAAAAGTATTCAATGAAATGCAGTCCGGGCAAGCCTGAATCTCAGCAACAGCTTAAAACAAAACAACAACTCTCTCCCTCACTCTTCCCACAACAACTCTCTCCCTCATTCTTCCCAGCTAAAGTGGAAACTGTGAATTGTTACAACTTGACAAGACTTAGACTCACCTAATTAAAAGTCAGAGAGGTTAGATTTTAGAGTTTCAAAGCCCAATGTCAAAACAGCATACCTTTTCCATGCCTGAAGTTTCTAATAAACAATTTCAGCTTTATTAAACAAATGAGACTAAAGACAATAAAGAATTTATAAAATTCTCACTCAATATGGGAATCACAACTTTTGGTTAACACAACTTCATCCTGGGATAAAACATAAACCCCTTTAAATCAAGCAACCTACAATTCAGTCCTAGTATATGCATCGAGCAGGCACAAGAAAAAAAATTAAGCAACGGAACAACTAGTAAGCAACACAACATATCCAGGAACAACTTGCTTCTGTGCTCAAGAACTGCACAGCAAACTTAACCAGGCACATTTTTTTTTCCAGGTTAATTACACCTTACAGGAAGCAAAAGCTAAAACCCACAGACCCTTCCTGCTGGTATTAGTCACTTCATAATAAAAATTTTAAAGCCAGTACTAAAGCTTCCTTCAGGATAATCATTTTTGTCCTAGCAACGTTACAAGCCAAGATGGGGTGCCCTTCTGGGAAAAAGTATCTTGGGAATGGTAATGGGAGCTCCCTACATAACTTCTGACCACAGTCTCAATTTGCCCAGTATCAGTCATCTGTCTAATAAGTGTTCCAAAACCTGTAATTAGTACAAATGCACAGTAGGCACTATTCCACAAATTGAGAGACGGCATTTGAATGGAACTGTGTAGAGCGCTTAAGGAAATCCCTTTTTTTTTTTTTTTTAAAGAGGCTAAAAAAAGTAACATGAGAAAATGGGTGGGAACAAACCAACAGCCCCTCTCCTTCCCGCTCTCTCTAGCCGGTCTCCTCTCGCCTGCCTCAGTCAACTGTTGCTGAACAACAGAACAAGACCCATTCTGGGTTCCTTGCGCAGATGTGGGGCTTTTGCGGATGGCAGAGGTGATTTCTCCAGGCAGAAGCTGGAGTTTAAACTCTTCCTGGACGGATTGTTCTGGGCTGAGCTGCAGAAGAGGATCAAGCAGCGGGCGATCAACCCAGGTCCCTCCCTCTCTTGACGGTCTCTCCCCTCCCCTCGCCTTCAGTAAGGGGGGAAAAAAGCGCACAGCTTTCCATCTCTCTACTCCTTAAAAAATGCTCTTGCGGAGCCACCGCAAACAATCTTTCCACGGCAGCAAAGAATTTTGCAGCGAAGGGCTCTCCGATCCGAAGCAGAGAAGTGAAATAGGTGCCCAAGGGCAATTTTAATTGTCTAACCCGGCCCGATTTCCTAAGAGGCGGCAACGCGGGGCGGGGAGAGGGAGGCAGCTCCGAGAGGCAACAGGGGGCAAGCGGCGGCAGAGAAAAGGACCAAAGCGGCGAGATCCCAGCCCCGAACCCCGAGAAGCTTCTGCAAAAAGGTCTCTGGGGCTACTCCCACCGTTCACCGGGAGACGTTTGCGAATCATATATGCAGCCAAAATGGCGCTGAGAATAAAAATATAATTTAAAGGCAGGTCGCCATATTGTAAACAGAGAGGTAGAGAAGAGGCGGACTCGAAAGACACCCTCCATGATTTCTTCTACAGCCGCAAGTGCCTGGGCGCTGGGTTTCCGGAGTCTGAACCAAGGCAGCTCCGGCGGCCGAAGGCTCCGCGAACCCACCCCGAGGAGAGCCCAGCACGGCAGGAGCCCGAGGGCGACAGGCGCGCGGGCAGGCGAGCGGCATAGGGCCCGGAGCTCCTCCCCTTCCTCCCCCGCCACCGCCGGCCTTGCCCTGCCGGCTCTGTCCCGGCTCCCCAGCGACTTCCAGTCCCAGTTGGGACTCTCCTCACTCCTCCCAACCCCCACCCCGGGGTCCGGACCCATCGCTGCTCCTCCCCCCCACAAACGGCCAGATCCCGGCAGACAGCTGGGGGCGGGGAGGCGCTCACCCCAGCGGCTGCAGAAAAGTCAGCTAGCGGCTGCAAGCGCCCGTTATTTTGGCAGGCAGGGGTAGGCCAGGTGAAGGAATGTGCCGAGAAGGGTCCGCCAAGAGGCTCCAAAGAGGTCCCTTGACCTTACCAGCACTGGAGATGGAAGGCGGCCGGGCAGTGGTCACAGCACAGGAGATCACCACCTTCTTTGCAGCTATCGCAGCTGTCGTGGTTGGTGGCCCTGCCGCTTCTCCGGGGCTCCTTCTCAGGCTTCCGACTCCGCTTTTCTGCTTCGTCCGTCTTGGGGGGAGCCAGTAGAGCTTGGATTTGCTGCACACACATACAAACGGCGTGTGTGCACACTCGGAGGTCCCGGGTTGTCCGTCGCCCCCCCGGCGCAGCTTCTCCGTCACCCACCCTTCTCCCCCCTTTTGTCCTTCTTCCTCCCATCCAGGCTGCTCTCAGAACCTCTTAGTCCCCGGAACCAGGGGGGAGCCCACCCTAACCGTGTTCCTGCAGCACAACAACGAGAACAGCTTCTTCCAAATGGGGAGGATCAGGGTAGGGGGATGGGGAGAGGGTGCGCGGTTCCCTGCTCGCCACTTCCTTGTATGGACAGTGGGGGACTCCAAAGCCAGGCTCGGGAGAGGCCTGAAGCCCGGTACCCGGACGTGCTGGGGGAAGCACAAAGAGGGCCGACAAGAAGGGGGTGGGGAGGCCCGCCGGTGCAACGAGATGGAGTGGGTTGGCGCCTCGGGAGAGCAAATCGAGGGCGGCGAGTAGGTGAAACTGCTGCAAATGTCCTCGGAGGCTGAGCTCAGCTCCCCGAATTGCAAAGATGGGAGGGAGAATCTGGTGAGAAAGAACCCCCCTCCCCTGGCCTTCTTGCGCTGCGAGCTCAGGACCGGCTTTGTGGGGCGGAGGTTCCCTCCCGACGCTGGGGGAAGGGGATGAGGAGGGCTACTCTTACCTCCATCAGCCCCCCGGACGTGTCCAAGTCGTACACGATCGTCTTGGTCTCCATTTTCTCCCACATTCATCCACCTCCCGGGCTGGGCGCTTTCTGCTCCGGCCCCTCCCACCCCGGGGGGAGGGGGGA